TTAAGAGTGCAGAATCTTCTTAAAATAGGTTTATCTGATGTTTTCTCATAATTAGTAAGGTTATGTTACACATTTTAGGCAGAGATACTAATAAGGAGTTAGAACTAAATTTTCTAAAACCATTCCCATGTTATGCAAGGAAGTGGGGTCAGTGTTTTGTGTGTGAAAACTTTCTAGCGAATCTTGAGTTGACAATGGTACTTCACACTTCCCATCAATCTTAATTTGAACTGAGTGGCCTAAATTTTTTATAAGACTCTCAGAATCACATTTAAGAGTAAAAATGTATTGAAGTTTCCATGTCTTTCTGGGCTTTCTTCTTGGAATGAGATGAGCTACTTTAGATCTGTGTAAATGGTCCGAGGAAGGTTAAGAGAGAAGACAGGAACTGTTTATTGTAAACTGACAGTTTAGGAGAGTGAGTTGGTGATAATCACATAATCCATTTATAACCACCCAAGTTAACAAGCTCTCACCTTCTTCAAATAGGCCCCATATTTACAAATAGTCACTTCTATATGAAAGTGGATTCTCGTTCATAGTCACTTCTATATGAAAGTGAGTTCTTGTTCATGTAACTAGAGTCACATGCAGTAATCTCATGGCGTGATTTCCCCATACCACAAAGCTCAATTTGCATTAAGAGTACTATTAGAACCTGTAACATATTACAAGTGTATAATTTGCTCTTTGAAGATAATTGTTTGTCTTACTTTGTAAACAAACTACCCCCCAAATAACTTGCAGCCCTGTGTCTGCCCAGTGCAATTTCAGCTGTATCAGTGGGAAAGAAATCCAAGTACAAGGTGGCTGGTCCAGCATAGCTGTGCTCAGGTCAAACCAATTGCAAAGAAGGGTTCCAGACTCCACACTGTGACAAACTTTTATAAATTGACTTATTTAAAGAAGAGAATGAATAAGCTGCTAAAGAATTCAAAATCAAGTTACAGGACTGGCTTTTCAGGCCTGTGTAGTCCAGTCCCGGGCTCAGCCCCATCTTGGGCTCTCAGCTCCATTTCCTCCATGGCTAGAACCCTGTCTCATCTTATCAGAGCTCATCCAGGGATGAAGGCTGTGTTCTCCTCCAATGCACTTGCCAGATTCAGCCTGCCAGCTGAGACATGTGAGGCTTCCCCTCAAAAAAGAAACGCAGGATGATTTTCTGATGGAAGAAATTTTATTCTACCTGGGGCTGTCCCTATGCCCTTCAAATTCCGCATTCTGCCATAAGAATGAATCTCCTTCTTCGACAAGGGGCAGGGTCTGTCTGTTGGCCAGGACTGTTACATTTAATCTGCCTCGTTTGGAATTTATTCAAAGAAGAAATATTTCCCAGCTACTGACAAAGGGGAGCCAGTTATATTTTCTATGAATGCCTGTGGCATTAATGGGAATTACACAAAGTCATATAAAGTGGGAGAACCATGGAACAACAAAATCCCACTCTCTAGTGAGGTCACTTACAAGCTCAAAACAACTTATGGTTTCCTTGGACCATTCTCTATTAATATAGCAATTAGTTTTATTCCATCTGGGTATGTTATCAAGTAGAAAAATGGAAAAGAGGGGTATGCGCAAAACTCAATATTTCACCTCAAGGAAAAATAAGCTGCAAATAACTATCATCAAAATATTTTTTTTAATTTTATTTGAAAAGACTCTGTACACATTTGGTTCATGAACACAGGGTAAAACATTTATTTCCATCTTCATTTTAGTCTAGTGATAACTGTACAAATCTGGACATAGATAATGAACAGGTTTTATCCGAGAACATGAACGTGCGTCAGCTAATTCGGTGTGTCAGTGGTGTTCGCTGATTTCCAACGTCCACAAATGCTCAGTAGATGGGCACTGGCACACTGGCCGCCCCACTACCATCGAGCCAGGTGCTCACAAAACCAATGCTCGTGTGTGATAAAAACATGCTAATCACAACAAACAGTTATTCCGTGATGGGTTTTTAACTAATGAAAAATATGTCCACATGCAGAAACACCCCTGTATGCTTCTGTTGCATAGTCTTATCTACCTTCCATTTAATGTATGAAATCAACTTTTCTTGTCTAGGGGCAAAGAAATGCAGAGTCATAGCAGCATTTCCTCTTGCACCACACGTGAGCTTGCAGACCTGCAAAGGGTTAAGAATGACCCACAGTGACTCTGAAAAGATCTACAGTCCTTAAAAAGGGCAACATCCCTTCTGTGCTCTAGACAAGTTAAAAAGGGTTGGCCAAAACCCTGCTGGCTTTACAGTTTGTTGATGAATTAAGTAAGAAGTGATACATAAAATTCTCTTATATGAAGATACATTTTACTTGAAGAATATAAATCATAACAAATACTGAAACATTTAGTAACAGTTCTAAAAAAAAAAAAAGTTTTTGTTATTAATTCCCTAGACCAAAATTTACACATCAGGAAAGAATCAGGCACTTTGGGGCAAACTCTTTTGGAGTTCCTTAAGCTAACATTTTTAACATTTACAAAGTAATTGGTCCAATTACAAATGAATTTGACCAATTATGTCTCGAATTTCTGGGTTAGTGAAGGCAATAGGTAAATTCAAAGGGGAAGTATCAGCTTTGGGGGATAAAAAGTTTCATTTAAATGGTATCTCCATTTACTGAGTAGCAATCATATTCTCTCACAGCCTGACAATATTTGCCTCTCATGATAAACTGACAACATCACTTAATGGAAATGCATGACAATGTATTGATTAAGTATTTTCTGGAACATCTACACTTCAGTTAAAATTGTACCATTTACAAATCAGAAAATAAACTACAAAACATGCTTGTAGGCACAGCATGCCTGCAAGACACAAATATAAGAAATTTTGGCAAGCTATGGCAAGATACCTTAAACCAACAGAACATTCTGATGCAAAAAAAGAGAGATGGAAATACAGGCCATATATTATATATGAGCTATACTCTGAAGCCAGAAGACTCTCTATCCAAAAGGGAATCACAGACATAAAAATAAAATATTTGGTATACTACAATATATTACAAAAATAAATATATCAATCAATAAATATTGGGAAGCCTAGAAACTCTTACATGAATATTTTGGCTGTGGGCTGCCCAGTTCCCTCTGCTATAATTCTCTTTGAGGGTTGTTGAGATATATCAACTTTGGCGATAATAATTCTGCCGTAAAAGGGTAAAAAAAAGAAAAGATTGGCATGGGACCTAGAAGAAGGTCTATGACAAAAGAAACATTAGTAAGGTTCTACCCTTTTAAGGATCTGACAATATTCTGGCCTCCTGTCAATGCAGTGAGTTGGAAGTGATGCAGGTGTGCAGCCAGGGACCCCGTGGGAACTGGGAGAATTCCTCTATGGGCTATGTCTTTGCACTTCCTGATAAAAAGAAAGCAAAAAAAAAAAAAAAAAAAAAAAATGAAAAAAAAAAAAAAAAAAAAAAAAAAAAAATACAACTAGCAACATTTGAATAACCAATATGTTGCTCTCTGTACTTCCTTTCCATAGGGAAGCAGAAAATAATAGAAATGCTGGTTTACATCTGGATGGGCAAAAAGGGAAACAACTGAGCTACGAAGCCTCATCGCCAACAGCCTATATTTTCATATCTCTTTAACAGAAGAGTAAGTGCTCAAGACAAGATTACTCCAGAAGCCCAGAGCCAGCAGTGCACATAGTGGAAAGCAGGGCTGGCACATCCTTAACATTCTAGTATCAGGGTGCTAATGTTAGCGGTGTGCTAATGTCAGTGGGATACTAAATGTCAGCGGTGTGCCAGTGCCAGTGCACAGCCCCCAAGAGCTGACTTAAGTTTTAATTTTGCAAGCCAGTTGACATCACATTGGTAGCTCAAGATAGACTATAGTAAGAGCATTCACAGCATTGAAATCCACAAATCGGGGCTTTTTCCCACCCTGGATTGCTGGTTGAAAGGCATTTACCAGCACACTACTGTCATATGTATTAGACATAAAAATTGCTTAATTTTTATCTAACCAGGACTATCCTGGTCAGCTGAGGTTTTACTGTGTATCTATTACAGTGTCCTTTAGAAAGGATAAGAAGTACCTTGGAGTATGTGAGTATACATTGTGTACCATGGAGTATTAAGGATGCACCACATTCCACTGAGGGCACTAAGTGTGGCTGTCCAAAGCCAGCTATACATCACACACACACAAACACACACACACATTATGTTATATGGAGGCTATTCCACAAATAGTGATTCTGAGTTGCATGACTTTCTCAAAGTATCAATCACGGAATACCCACTGATCGTCAAAATATCACTCTTCCAGGAGCAATGAATTCCCCAGGATTCACTCAGTGGACAATAGATCTAGACAGCAGAGGTTCAAATTGGGCAAAAGTTCTTCCAAATAGTTTTCCTTGCCTCTATTGTCTAGTGCAGTTTGTGCTTATAACCTTAAGAGATTTGTCAAAGGGACTGATTGTTTCCCAGGGTCAAAAAAAAAAAAAAAGTGCCAGACTTCTTAAGGAAGCATTCCTTAAGATGAGCAGGGGTGAATGGGGGATGATGTACTGGAAACCACGTTCGTGGTTCTAACAAGAACCATCGACATTCCCTGCCTGGAGATGCTGGAATGGTTTGGAAACTGCTCTGCTCTGGTTCCTCCTGCACAAAGCCCGGGATATGCTTGCCGGGTAGAGGGAAATGGTGGGGGTTAAAAATGGAGCCTGCCACCTGCCAGGAAAACCCACCAGACTCTTCCTCTCCGGAACACTTCCCCAATACTTTCAGTCCTGGTCAGTTGCAAAATGGGACGATGGTAAAATGAGAAGATGGGAAAGTTACCGGATTTCTGCCATGAAGCAAACATTATTTCAAAATTCAGCCTTAGCTTTCGAGTCATTTGGTTGTGTGTCTATTCATAAATCCATTTATTTTTTTGTTTATTCATTCATCCATTCATTTGGACTCTGGTTTTCTTTTTCTTATACTTACTTATTCTTGTTTTCTTTTTTCTTATACCTAAGCATTCTGAATGAACAAAAACATTTGATAAAGGATATTATTAAAATAAAATCAAATTAAATATCAGAGGAAGATTTAGAAATTAAAACATGAACTCCTTTCACTCTGACAGCAAAGGCATTTAGGTGCCCCTTTGCAGCTCACAGATGTGTAATGAGGGCCAGGGAAGAGTGAGACACAGGCATGGGAGGAAGACATGAGGCACTAGGGCAAAGAAGAAAGAGGGAAGGAAGAGGATGGAGCAGAGTGAAAAGCAGGGGTGTGGAGACAAGGGAACACCGTTAACAGGTGAAGAAAGATATTAACATCCTTTCTTCCAACAGACAGGTCCCTTCTAATTTTTCTCCTCTTAGTCTTTGATAGTTTTATTTTGTCCAAAATATTTAATTCTTTAAATAAAACCGTTTATGATGTTACAGACACATCTAGGGATAGCCTCCGAAGATAGCATCAATATCCTCTTCCCTTTCTTCCTTTCTTCCCCTCAAGTGCCCTCCGGACCCCTCTACCCTCTGCAGCAGCAATGGCCAGTACACATGACCTTGCTTTCCTATTGACTCAGGAAGAGATTTCATGCGATTTCTTCTGTTTTCCTTCCTCGGCCAGGAGCTGCCCTCTGGAGCACATTGGTACCGAACGGGCTCATTTTTCCTGTTGTACCTCTAAGACCTCTTGAGTCCATTTGGTTTCTACATCAATTAACCCTTCCCTTCAAGCATCCCTTGCCAGGCCCTGCGTCTCTGAGAAACTACAGAAACTCAAGTGACAAAAGCTACACTTACATTTCTAGAGTATTTAGGAAGTATAATACTTCCAAGGATGATTAAATCCCTGATGCAAATTATCTTAACATAAATCCTACTCAGAGAAGAGGCAACAGAGAACATGCCATTGGCCTTTAATATACACACATTTGAGCGGATCATGCATGTAGGTGAGTATAATCTGCCTGCACAGAACCAAAAGATTTTCATAATTTCATGTATGTACACATATACATACACAAGTATGTATCTTTTGATACTGTATTTTGCCTTGGGGTTGTTTTCAAATCAACATGGAGGTGGCATTGCCAGGAAATGGCAAGTCCAAAGAGAAAACAGATTGAAAGGGACTTAACTCTAAAGCAAAACATGCATTTCCTACAACAAACTGACCTGTCCATTTCTGGAAGACAGCAAGCCTGTAGTACTGTACACCCTTATTAAATAATCTTATTAAATAGGAACACCAAATATACACATTTACAGTTATTAAATAAGCCACAAGATTCCTCTTCTATCTACAGCCACATTCGGAGACGGCCATGCCTTCGTATTTAAACTTGTAGGTGACGACGCCTTTGTCTAAATAGAGGATGGAGATGGGCTCTAGCTTTGTGGGCACACAGCAGACTTTGGAAGCTTTCTGGGAATTCTTGAGATGGACCAAGGCCTGGATAATTGCATGCTTTGTAGGTGTGAGATGCTCTGCCAGGGGATAGTTACAAACACCACGACATTCATAGGCTTCGTATCCGGGCGGAGCGATGATCCAGGAGTCCCACCCAATCTCCTTGAAGTCGATGTAGAGCGGGGTTCTCTTGCAATAGTTTCCTTTGGCGTTCCTTCTGATTCGGGCAGTGGAGTCGTAGATGATGTTGGATCTCATCTGCAACAAAGCCTCTTCCCCAGGTTCACTGGAATAGTCATCCAGGCCCAAGTTGTCCAGCTCTTGAAGTTGCTCATGGGAAATCATTTCATTCAGTTCCTCTTTCCTCTCCTTGTCACTGCTTTGGTCATCAGAAAACACGATGAGCAAAGGGTTATGCTTATTCTGGGCACTGGTGTCTATTTCCAGCCGTCCATTGCTGGAGTCCTCAGCTTCACCGTGTTTGCTCTCAATGCGGACCTCCAGCTGGTGGGTGGATGAGCCTGACTTTTGCCAACCTCTGATAGCATCTGTGACATCAAAAGTCTCCCACTCACTGTTGGTTCCATAGATCTCCTCTGACACCAAGACCAGCATGTTTCTATCTCCCTCATTATTCCCTTTGCTCTCCAGCACTTCAAAGATGGTAATTCTTTGGTCTACAACATTGTATATCATACGGTCCCTTTGCACCAGTGTGAACAGCCTAAGTTCAGCCATGATGACCTCTTCATGATGAGGAATGGACACATTGAAGAGGAGAGGATATTTTCGGAGCCCATTAAAACTGGCTGGTTGGGAAAACAGATCTGAAAAAAGAAATTTGCAAAAATCAGATTTGCAGTGGGTCTCAGGGAAAAACAGATGCTTATTTATGTAATAAGAATGCCTTCCCATGCATTAAGCTTAATGCAGAAAGAATGAAGGGAGAAGATCAATGAGAACAAACACAATGTCAGCATTCTGTGACACAGGAAATCCCAAAAGGTCGGTGGTAGAATGCCCAAAAGAGTTCAGCTGCCAAGACTAAAATGGAAAGTGGGGGTCTATTGGATGGGGTAAAACTTAGCCAACCTTGCTTTTGAATAGCTCATCAGCCACAGAATTACAGAACTGGGAGTGACCTTGGAAATTGTGTGGGCAAGTCCCCAAATTTCCTAACCAACAAAGAGCCACCAAATGGGACATGTGGTGATTGTTCTTTTCTTGAAGCTTTTCAGGGATGAGGACTTCATGGTGTTTTAATATTTGTGTTTGTAGTGGGTGGAGATCCCTACCTAGTTAGCTGGGCACTGGTCTTCCTAAAAGGCTTCCATATGGATCAGAGGTTGGTAAACTATAGCCTATGGGCCAAAATAGGCCTGCTACCTGCTTTTGGGTAATGTTTTATTGGAACACAGCCTCATACATTGTTTTGTATTGTCTGTGGCTACTTTTGCACTACAATGGCAGAGTTCAATAGTCACAACAGAGAGCACATGACCTGCAAAGCTTAAAATAGTTATTATTCATCTGACCCTTTACAGAAGAAGCTTGCTGACTTCTGTTCTCAGCAACAAAGCCTGACAAGGTCAATAAGACAGCCATAAACCAAGAAGGTCACAGCCGTCGATTTTTGATTATATGGTCCTCTATAAAGAGGAATGGGAGAAAATGAATCCTGGAACTAGATTGGTTGCCTTAGTCTTATACCCCTAGCACTAGCCTTATACCCCTAGCACCTGGCATGAAGTATGGTACATACAACTCACTCAAGAATGTTTATGAAACAGCTCTGTAAAAGTCTTAGAAGCACACCTTCTAATCTTAGTCTTGGAAGCACATCTCCAAATACTGTTATGTTGACTTCCTATCTGAAGATTTTACAGTGAGCCCAAAGCTTCTGCACACTTGTCTCAGGTAATGAGTCTACAAGGAAGCCCTGAAGGCATTTGCCATCAGATTCTCAAAGGGATCCAGGACCACCAATTGAGGGGTTCTGTCATCTTTGGCAGCATTTCACCAAGTTTATATTTAATTCGTGATCTCAGTGAGTCCCTGTTCCAGATTATAATCTTTTAATATTTTCCTTTAACTTGCTCTGATTATTTTGCACTTACTATCTATTTTAGACTTATCCTAAGCAATGTCATTCATAAAAGGAGAGATTTGAGGTGATACTTATGTGTGTTTGCTAAAATCCATATGAAATGATTTCACCTAATTAATAGCTTTCTATGGGTACCACCTAAAATCATCTTACACATTGCCAGTGGGAAATGCTGACCTACAGAATGAATTTAAACTCCCTGGCATGGTTTTCAAGGCCAGCTGTATCTGGGTCTTAGCCTTCTGATCAGCCATGGCTCCCATACATGCATGGAACATTGCGATCACTCAATAATATTTGTGAACAATTTAATGGATTTGTAAACCCTTCTGTTTCAACTACATTGATATCTTTACCACCTGTCAAACATTCTTTCTTTCCCTGTAATTTTCACCCTTTCACATGTTCTTCTGACCCTTGGAAAGCCCTTTCACCTCACCTCCACCTACCCAGCTCTGACATCTATAAAAGCCTCCCTTCCTTACTTCTGTTTCTGAAAGTTCCCTCCCCTCCCCTCTGAATCACTTGAGCACTTTATATCTCCTTTGATCCTTGTCATTTACAACCTTATACTTCAGTTGTCTTTTTATGAATGGATTTTCCCAACTAGACTGCCATCCTCCCAGTATGAATGGCTCAAAACTCACTTCTATGTCTCTATCCTACTATAAGGGCTTAAACAGAGGTAGTGCTTTAAAAATATTGATTAGCTGATGATTTTAGGCATCAGACTAAATTGATTTATGGGCATGACATATGACCTTAATCCATCATCAAGCTCTTGAGTAAGTGGCTTGGGATTTATTCTTCCACCCTAAGAAGGGAGGAGACTTGACTCCCCATGGACAGGGAACATGAGAAGACCCATAATGGAGGAATAGGCTGGTTGCTCTACCCAGGAGAGAAGTATAGAATAAAAGCTCACTGTAGCGGGAGGAAGGCATTACAAAGCATACAAAGAAGCTTTTGGTGCTAATGGATAAATTCATGATCTTGATCGTGCTGATGGCTTCAATGAATGTTTACAGAAGTCAAAACCTTTCCAATTATACACTTTAAATATGTGCAATTATACTTTTATACATCAATATTTTTAAATGTCATATTTTCTGTAAGTCAATTATACCTCAATAAAACTGTTTTGAAAAAGAAAGTTCACTGGACTGTTTTGTGAATGTGCAAATGCAGTAAGCAGTAAAGGGAAGAGTTACATTTCAGGGCAAGAGAACTAATGTTTGTTGACAAATTTCTCATGCCAGGTGCTTTGCAAGCATGATGTTCTCTGGTTCTCACAATGATCCCATAATGCAGGTATTGATTCTCTACCCATTTTGCACCAGAAGAAATCAAGCCCTGATGCAGAGAACTGACTTCCCCAGATGACAAGATGATAAAGGAACAGTGCTAGGAATTGAGGGCATGCTTTTTTCACCTTGGAGGTGGCACTTTTTTCCCAAGATGAGGTAGGTTTTGACTTTTTTTTGTTTTTTGTTTTTGGTCTTTGTCTCCTAGGGAGCTGCATTAAGCAGACCCAAAAAGTCAGAAGAAAGGCAATAGTAGCCAACAGGGCATGCCCTGTGCAGTGATTTCTGTCCTCAGGCTGCACATTTCCTACAGACTGGCAGAGGTGCTGGCCGCTGAGTTGTTTACTGAGAGATGTGTTCCTGCCCTCAATAATCTCTAGTAATAATAAGCACAGTAAACTCCACATACTGACCTGGGTTATCCAGATACTCTCTGAGAGAAGTAAGAACTGAAAACTTTTCTACTTTTCTGGGGGATGCAAACAACATTTTCTCACCCGTACCCTGAACCAGACAGCGCTCAGTTCTGAGAAGTATTGGGGCAGGGGGGGTTCTTACAGGAGGAGGTTATTCATTTTCAATTCAGACTCACCTCCAAAAGGAATCTGTAATCTCAGCTTGCCATTTCCATGAGAAAGATGTTATGAAATACAACTTCTGGCAGCCAACTCAATTTTAAAGGCAAACATCTTAGGGACTAAGAAATACCCACTCAACATTTATTCCAGCAACTAGAATATTAAGTAACTCATTAGTAATCACTGAAGTTTGATCAGCACTTCATAGTAAATGGAGCACTTTCTTACCTGTAATCTCTTTTGAGTCACTCAACTTTGTTATGTAGGTATTATTACCCCCACTTTACAGATGAGGAAATTGAGAATCTGAGGCCTCAGCTAATTATTCACAACCACTAAGCCAACCAGCTCTCAAAATTCCATATCCTGAGCTATTTCTTCATCACTGCCTTTTTTCTTTCAAGAATATCTGGCCAACATTAATCAGAAGCCGCTTTTGTACCTGGTTAGTGACTATAATGGCATAATTGGCAAATATTAAAGAATTAGTTTATTTGGACCTTCAGCTTCTCTCATAGATATCTAGATATCAGGATTTTCTTTCCCCCAATAGGACCATATTAAGCTATTAAGAAAAAAAAATTAACTCATTAGATTTAGCTACCAAATTTAAACACCTAGGAGAAGAAAACACACTTTTCTCACCAATAATTCAATCTTGTACATCACTCTTCACAAAGATGGAAATGATGAGCTGGATGATTAATGGGCCAATCACACTTCCTGGAAACTGTAAACAGTGCTTTAAGGATGTACATGACACATCAAACAACACAGCCTTAGGAAGAATCTCTAAAATATATTTCCATACTGTTTGAACATTTCTTAAATAACGTCACAAAATAAAAACATTAAAAGTTTGAACAAAACACACATCACAACTTGATGCTTTTTGACTGTTTTTATTATTTTTATTCTAAGTAAAAGTTGAGAAATTTTTTAGCTAATTAAACGCCTAGGCAACCAAGGCCTATCTGGAAAATGACAAAGATACGGCAACATTAATGCTTTGTATTACTTGGTGTTCAAATTAACATTTTTTGAAAGAACCCAATTATAATGTCGAATTGATAGGTGTTTTGTGGCTTTGGGTTAAAGATGTTTGTAAGTATTTTTCAGGTTCTGAAATGACTACATAAATAGTATAGACCAAATTGTACCTTGTTTTTGTGTATCTGTATGTATTTAACGGATACATTAATACATCTCCTTATTTAAATTAAATCTCCTTATTTAAATACATCTCCTTATATAGATGTATTTACCCTTACCTATACTATTCCCATGCATTATAAATTTAATTATCGTGTCTTGAAAAAATTCCAAGCCAAATTTCATCAGCAAAAACTTACCTTCATTCTTGAAACTCCTAATGATGTTGGCAGAGGGCATGGAGGTTCGATCTGTTGCAAATTTGTTATAGAGTTCCAGCATGTACTCTGGTGGGTCTACCTTGGCTGAATCCTCCGTGGGGATGTCAGACAGGTTCAGTGTCTTGAGAAACTCATTCTTCATGCTCTGGAGCAATGTGCTAAAGTCAACACCATCTTGCTCTGAGAAAACATCGTCAAAGACGGGCATATCTTCTTCTAGAGGAGACTGGTCTAGGCTCATGATGGGGCTACCAGAAACCAAGTGAGCCATCAGGCAGAGAAGAGCGCACAGTGTCAGGACCGGAGAGCCCATGACTCCGCTCAAGCCCCTAGGCCAAGCCAGGAAGGTTTAGCTCTCCTGGGCTCTAAGTGGCAGTTTTATCTTGTGGGGCGTAAATGTCTCCTGTCACTGGAGACAAGTTTGGAAACTCTTCCTCTCTCTCTTCCTCCCCCTACCACTCTTCCTCTCCCCCTAGAAGTCAGGTTGCAGTAATTGGATAACAAAATCCCCTATAGGGGCCTAGCCTTTCTTATCTCCCTAGTGTAAACTTGTGCACCAGAATTTGTTTCTATCTTGTAATCCCTATTTCTTTTAATGAGCATTTTGTAAACATTTTCACATTCTGACACTGGTTGAAAGATAGGACAATTTTCTCCTTGCAAAGGCTCTGCTTCTCTTCCCTTTGATTCACTTCCTTTCAGCAGGAATGTCTAAATTCTGTTTTTATGGGCTTAGTTTCACACATACATGTAATAGGTATAAGAAGCAACATAACACACATCAGTGGTGTTACATATTAATTTGAGTGGTAGGGCCTACATCCTCAAATAAATACTTCTGAAGACAGACCAAATGTCCAAACTTTCATTCAGCTATAAATGAATTTATATAAATTTTTCCAAGCATACATTTTTAGAAACAAGAAAGTATAAACTTTATGATCCATAGTCTCTTTCCTATTTGATCTGGCTAAAATAGCATTTGAAAAATAGGGCAAGCGCTTAATTGCAGTGGCAGCTAACATTTAGTAGATGCTTCCTACAAACAGGCATTGTACTGAGTGGTTTACATCTGTAGTCTAGTGTGTTCCTGCAACAACCCTATCATTATCCCCATCACATATAAGGGTCAGTGAGGTTCCATAGATTGCCAGAGGCCACAAAGCTGCAAGGTGATGGACCCACAGTTTGAACTAAGGCAGTCTGATTCTTATGAAAAAGAAAACAGTCACACTTTTAAACCACTTGTATTCCACCAGACTAGGGCATGGGCAATAAGAGTGAGAGGCCAACCCATCCCCAGATCAGCCTGGAGGCAGGAGGCAGACAGCCGTTTGCAGCTGGATGTGTACCTCAGGCCCTCCACTTCTGCAATGAGCTGTTAATATGACCAACATCTCTGCCAAATTCATCCTTCTGACTCAATCAAAATTGTCATCTAGAGGCTCCAGCAAAAGCTTGGTGTGATGGTTAATACTGAGTGTCAACTTGATTAGATTGAAGGATGCAAAGTATTGATCCTGGGTGTGTCTGTGAGGGCGTTGCCAAAAGAGATTAACATTTGAGTCAGTGGGCTGGGGAAGGCAGACCCACTGTTAACCTGGGTGGGCACCACGTAATCAGCAGCCAGTGAGGCTAGAATATAAAGCAGGCAGAAAAATGTGAAAAGACTAGACTGGCCTAACCACCCAGCCTGCATTTTTGTCCCGTGCTGGATGCTTCCTGCCTTCAAACATCAGATTCCAAGTTCTTCTGTTTTGAGACTTGGACTGGCTCTCCTTGCTCCTCAGCTTGCACACAGCCTATTGAGGGACCTTGTGATTGTGTGAGTTAATACTTAATAAACTCCCATATATATATATATATATATATATATATATATATGAACATTGAATCAAGTCTCTGTCCCTCTAGAGAACTCTGACTAATACACTTGGCAAACAACATTACCAGGCACACAAAAAATGCCAAATGCCTTGGTCCTAAAAATTAAAAGATGGTATAATTGATTGTGTGTACAGATTAGGAAAGACAAATCAGGTTCATCACATTTTCCACCCTAACTAGCGACAGTAGCAGCCGTGGTACAGCCAGAGTGGCCCTGTGGACAACCCCAGGGATGTTTTTCCCACTGAGGCAGTAATACTGGTATCTTTCTGACTTGCCCAGTGCACACCCTGTTCCATTACTGATACATCCTGTGCTGTGTTCAGAGGGCTGTGTGGAGACATTCGATTCACTGGAATATTTTCTCAGTTTCGATGTTAAATTTTCCTATGTTCATTCTAATTGATTAGCTACAATGTTTCCACTTGGCTTTTCCTCCAGGCTCCCTTAGGTTTCTAGTCATCTTCTGATTCTTTTTCCTCCTAAAATGTACAACGTTACAGCTATTTTTTTTTTATTACCATAGAAAGAACCATATTTTGTTTAGTAGTTGTCAATTGTCCATTTGTTTAATAGCTGTTGATTTTGGTTTAATGTTCTATTTTGATTCAAACTTCTGCTCCCATAGTGAAAAGACAACTGTAGACTGGAGACAGATTATATCCTGAATAGTCTCACAAGTGAGTGAGTGAGTCCAAGGGCCAGAAATCGTCCCTCAGGTGGTTTGTTTTAGCATGAGGTCCCTGACAACAAACCAGCAATGCCTTGTATCATGTCTTGCATCCAAGTAAGCACCCATTTATCTTTACACACACACAGATGTCAACGCACACTCCAAAACTCTGAATGGCAGGCATGTATGTGTAACTGCCACAGGACAGCTGTGTAAGTGGTGGCACATATAACCTCTGAGCACACTGATTTCAAAGGTCATGGGGAGATACATACATCCCACATTGCAGAGTTCTAGTTCTTTACACTCTTGGGCATAAAAATGTTAACTGAGACTTCACTGGCTTACCTATACTTGGTGTTAGAAAAACTATAGGGTTAAATACTTGGATCCATGTTTATCTTTGGGGATGATTAAGAGATACGGTAGGAAAATGACTATATCCATATCTCAGATATTGCAAGATATCAGAATATCTTGAGATGCATGCTCGGTGAGGTTCTTAAACCCACACCTGTGCTGGGTAGACAAGGAAAGAGGTTAGCTTCATGCTTGGAAGAAGGGGACATAATCTCCCTCCTTCTTCCAGGCCTGGGACACCTCACATCTTAGTTGCAGAGTCTCTTTATCCCATGTTTTTCTCTAGAAGCTTTTTCTGATGACTCTTATCTGACTCTTAAAGGTTCAAATGTCTTTACATTCCTACCCCTATTTTGATCCTTCTGGATGCAATTCATTCTGTTCTTTCACACTTATCTCATTATTTTGTGTCTTTCTTATTTGGAATGTTTTACAGTTCATTCAGAGTGGACAGGGGATTACAGTTTTGTGAGCCGAAGGTGTAAAATGTATGTTTAAATGTTTTAAAAGAACCCGTACATGTGGAAAGCAAAATATTAATTACACATTATGTCTTTCAACCCACTGGAAAATGCTCCAGAACCTCTGATTTGCAAAGTTCTGGGCCAGTTTTTGAAACTAGTTCCATAACTGTACAAACTTGAAGGATCTAACATTGAACTTCATTGAGCTATCAAAGGGATCTGAGATCCAGACATGGTCAGAGCCACTGAACAGCATCCTGATGAATTCTGCTATTACCTGTGAGTACTGCACCCCCTGAATAAATGCAACCAATAAAATTCTCCTGAATGAAAAGAGATGATGAATTCAGGAGGGCTTTGAACATGACTCCAGGTTCTTGGAAGCCTCTCTACCTGGATCCCACTACAGAAGCATTACATTGCTCCTGCTGCCTTCTCAAAACCAGGTGTGATAATTTAAAAAACTTAACAAGCTGTATGATAGGTTTTGTCTATTTAACTTATATGTAAATTGAAACATGCTACATGTTTTCTTTCAAGACTTACTGTTTTGCACTCAACAGGATTTTTCCAACACACACAAGTTGATGTGTGTAGCCGAGTTCATTGATTTTCACTAAATGGTTGTCAGCTTTGTCAATACATAAAAATTTATTTGTACATTATACTGTTGATAGAGACTCTGTTTCTTTTTTCTCATTATATACAGCACTACAGTGAATAATTTTACTGTTACTTTCTGTTTAAGAGATTCTGTAGGACATGCAATCCAATAGAACATTCTATTATAAAAGAAATATCCTCTATTTAAGTTGTTCAATGCAGTAGCCACTGCAACTGCATGTGGATATTGAGCATTTTAATGTGGTTAGTAAAACTGAGGAACTGAATTTTTAAATTTCATTTAATTTTAATTAATTTATACCTATATTTAAATAGCCATAAGTGGCTAGTAACCACCATGTTGGACAGTGCAAGTCTAGACTTTATTTAGTAAGAGTAAATATTAGAATAGAATTGCTGGTTGATAGTCAGAAAAGACTCCAACAATTTTACATGATGCCAAATTGTTTTCCCAAATGGTTTTTCCAATGCTGTGTCTCCCAGCAAGAGCTCCTGTTATGCCACATCCTTGACAATGCTTGCCTGGTTGACTTTGGAGACTCGTTGAGCTGTGGAGGCTCCTTCTTCTGCTGCTGTTCTCTCCCACCCATTCCTGAGAGGTGCAAGAGATCATGTACATTAGCACCTTGAAAAAAGGCATAGTTTGTGCTGGAAAGCACTGTTTTAAAGTATTGTGTTGGCTCTTACACCCTACATTAAATGACTCAGCTCATGTAAAGCGTGGTGTCCAAGAGCAAAGAAATTTATTGAAGGACAGGAATGGAGACTTGCATGAATTCAACAATATTCCAAGACAATGGATAAGAAGACAATATAATAAAGATGTCAAAAATCCCCAAATCAATATCTAAACTCAATAAAATGTCAATCACAATCCTAACAGGACTTTTCATAGAACTTGAAAAGCTGATTCTAAAAGCTATATGTAGAAGCAAAGGATTACGAGTAAGTAAGGGTACTCTTAGAGAAGAATTAGATAGGAGAATTTTCTTACCAAATATTAAAATCTATTAAAAATCAGTAATGATAAAGATAGCATGGCATTGGTGTAGGAATAGATCAGTAGAATAAAAATCTATCTGGAAAAGGACTCACATAAATACAAAAAATTGACGTAGAATACCTGATATTGCAAATCAGTGGGAAAAAGATGATTTCATGAATAATGCAGGGATCGTTTATGGGAAACACTGATTGACTACTTTGTACTTTATGCAAAAATTAAATCCAGATAGATTTGGGACTTCATATGAAAGAACAATTTTGAAACTTGGTCTTGGAGAAATCCTGGGAGAAATGTTTCTTTTGCCCTGAGAATTATCACCTCATGTGCTATCTCCAACCCTTGAGGTTAACAAGGAAATAAATGATTATCTTATCCCCATTTCCTCCAAAAAAACAAAAAAACTAGAAAAGGACAGCTCACATTAGAAAAAGTATATACGCTGATATTATCTATCAAAT